CAATTTTGGGCTGCTTAGGATGTTCATTTAACATTTTTTTGACTTGTAATGAAGTGTACAAATTATTTGAACCACTGTTGATGAACAAGATGGCATGCCGTCTCTCGCTCTGCGAGTTTGTCTTGGTTCTATTCGTGATTATGTCTCTGTGTGTGATAAACTCCTCTGCCCTGTTAACTTATGACCGGTAAACGCTGTTGGATATTAAATCATCATTGGAGGGAGCACGCTTTTGTACGCAGAAAGGATACGGCACCAGTTACCTTCCACCTGGGTGCTCGCTCCCATTTTACCTGTGCTGACCGCTGTGTGCTCTTTATCGCAGACGTCATAGGAAACGCGGGCGGCAAGGTGGCTTTGCGGTAAAGGTGAAGGCGAGTTTGACCTCGTCCTAGGTGACCTTCTCTCATTTCCTTAATCCGTAACTTAAGCGGGAAGAAAAGTGGTCCTTCACCGGGCGCCCTTTTGAGTTTTCTTATCAGTGGATTTTACCGGCGAGTCCATGCGACGGAGCCATATCATCATGCTTTCAGCCCCCTCGGCTTTGCAAATGGAGAGTGAACCTGCAGAATATCTGACAAGTTCACTCAGAGGAGGTATCTGCTGAATTAACATTGACATCTGCTGAAAAAACAAAACATTTATTTTAAACAACTTTTTGATTGAACATAATTTCAACGTTTTGTTTTTTGAATGAGACGTGGCTGATACCTGATGGTTTAAGCCCATTCATGGATTTGGTACCTCGGGAATGTGGATTTTTAAACTCTCCACACTCCACTTTATCATACATGTGTGCTGTCCTACAAACACATTGGTAGGAGATATTTTGAATGTAATTTATTATTTTAATCTTATACAGCATGTGCATTGTTATGAATCCGGGTCCTGTTATTCTTCCCAATCACCATCAGAGGGCTCCATCACCATTAAGACTACTCCTTACCGGACTCCATTTCCCAGAATCCCCTCACCAGGAAGTGATTACACCCTCCCCTGTTTCCAAAAACCAAGACTATTTAAGCAGCACACACACAAACACATGGCTAAGTATTGTTTGCATTGTGCTTTTATTCTAAGCGTATCCTTGTTTTCTGTGTTTTTCTGCTTCCTAGTTTTTGTCTTGCCTTGCCGAGCCTGTGTTTTGACTCTGGACTGTTTTCTTGTTTTGTGTGATCTTTTGCCATCTGCCCTGACCATTGCCCATTCTTGGATTACTCTTTTGTCTGACCCTGGATATTGTTGTTTGCCATTGTTTGACCCTGCCTGACTACACTCTATTAAATAAAGCCTGCAAGTGGATCCCCAACTCTGTTGTAACACTCGTCCGTAACATGCATAAGCCCACTCATGTTCATGGCCATATTTTAGACTTAGTTTTGACTTTTGGTTTATCTATTGATGTTGAAATATCAGATCAAGTTTTTGGTGTTGACATCACATACAATTATAAAACCTATCAAAATTGACTACAGCAGGTTTTAAATGCTGGAGCTATAGAGCAGTTCAAAAATCTATTTTATGAAATCGATTTAATGAATTTAATGGACAGTTTTCCCTTAATATGGATTTAGACTCTTCACTCTATGTGCTATATTCCATTTGTTTCCCTTTTTGTAGCCCCACTGCAGGTCAAAAAAGACAACTCCAGACCTGAGCCCTGGCTGAATGATGTGAATCGGGGGTTGAGGGGTTGCATTGACATGTAGAAAATTTGAACAAAAATTGAAAAAAGACAAGTTAGAGGTATCTTTTGAAATGTTACGGGAGTCTCTAGCCAATTATCAGAATGTTGTAAAGATGGCTAAAAGAAATTATTTTGTAGAAGTAATTACAAAAAATAGTAGTAAGCTGCCAGTCTTATTTAATATAATAAATTTAGTTTCCTGACCATTTTTTGGATTATTTTGTTCAAAAGATCTCTGATATTAGATCTCTGATCAAACCTGTCCTGATTTGTTTGACCCTTCAGTTGTCCGGCCATCATCTGTTAGTTTTGACCATTTTGAACTGATCTCCTGCAGTCACTAGCAGAAGTAATCAGCCAGTTAAAACCAACTGACTGTTCACTGGATATTATTCCAGTGATATTAGTAAAACAAGCATTTGATGTTCTTGGCCCCAGTATCCTATCTATAATAAATAATAGTCTTTTAACAGGAGTAGTCCCTAATCAGTTTAAACATGCTGTTGTTCATCCTCTTTTGGAAAAAAAAAAACAACCACATTTGGACCCTGCTGTTGTATCAAATTATCGGCCAATTTCAAAGTTACCTTTTCTATCAAAGGTTTTAGAGAAGGTGGCTTTGAATCTATTACACACTTTTTTTTATTCAAAATTACATTTTTTATTTTTTTTTTCAGTCAGGTTTTAGGGCTTACCACAGTACTGAGTCGGCTTTGATCAGGGTTTTAAACAATTTATTGACTGCAGTTGACTTAGGGTCCTCAGCAGTTCTTGTTTTATTGGACCTTAGTGCTGCATTTGATACCATTGACCATGACATTTTACTCTCTTGGCTTGAAAAGGTGGTGGGAATCCATGGTAGAGTGCTTGCATATAAGTCCTTTCTTTTAAATAGAATTTTTTCTGTAAATGTCGGTTAATATTATTCACAACCTGTCTCTTTGCTTAGTGGGGTTCTACAGGGGTCCATTCTCGGCCCAATTTTGTTTTCTTTGCATATGGGTCAATTTTTTGTAAGCATGGAATCTCTTTTCACTTCTATACAGATGATATGCAAGTGTATCTTCCTCTGCAAAAGAACAGTTAGAAGCAACTCACTATATGTTGGTATTATTTAAATCATTGCTTAACCATTTACAACTGGTCCAAAATGCTGCTGCGAGGCTTTTGACAGGTACTCATAAGAGAGACCACATTACTCCAGTTCTGAGTTTTTTTTACGATGTCTACTGATCCATTACAGAATCTATTTAAAATTATTTTTTTTTTGTTTATAAATCATTGCATAGTATGGCTCCGTTGTATTTGGTGGAATTGATTGAGAAATATGAGCCAAAACGTTCTTTAAGGTCAGCTAACCAGCTGGCTTTGATGATGCCTAGAACTAAATGGAGAAGTGGAGATCGAGCTTTTGTAGCGAAAGCTCCTAAACTTTGGAATGATTTACCTTTTTCTCTCAGATCGGCACCCACACTAAGTGTTTTTAAACACAAGCTTAAGGAATACCTCCTTGCATTAGCATTTAATGGAGTATAGAAATTGTTTGTGTATTAAAACTGAGTGGTTTATTACGCTGTTATTTTATATTTGTGGTTTAGTGTTGAGTTTTTATGGTTGTGTGATTGTCTCTTTTATGTGTTTATATATTGTACAGCACTTTGGTCAGTGGTTGGTTGTGTAAAATGTTCAATAAACAAAACAAAAAACAAACTGTTAATAGCACTGCATTGATGTTCCTCAAACATTCTGGTTAGGGTATGATTTAAACGCCATTCAGATTCGTATATAGATGATTTTGAGTAAGTAGATTATGTATTTTGAAAATGTTATGTTTTTTTTTTAAGAAATTTTTGTTTTCAAATGTCCAATATTCCCCTTCTACTTTGCATCTGCATAATGAATTGTGGTTGTTCTTGCAATGTGTTGTTCTCGTGTTGACCCAAATATCAAACAAAAAATAGAAAACTCTTTTGAGAAGATAAGAAGTTTGTTTATTTATTTATTTATTTATTTATTTATGTGAAATGAAATAAATGAAAAAAATAAAAAATAAATAAATAAATATAAAAACCAAATATTGATAGCGGTTCAATTATTTGGCAAGGCAAAATTTCACATTTTTGTTGATTTTAACTTGAACTATTAACTAAAACTAAAATAAAATGAATGAAAACTATATAGTCATATATTTAGAAATAAGTGGTTTAAACTCCAATTTAAAACAGACACCATTCAAACTTCTTTTACAGATAATTTCAGCTATTTTGGGCATTGTAAATGTTATGTTTTTAAGAAATGTTGTGTTGTGTTGTATGTTATGTTATTTTATGTTTGCAACTCTCCATTGACAGTTTATTAAGCATTCAAATTTGTGTTTGCCCTTATTTTGCATCTATTTGCATACTGAATTGACATTGTTCTTGCATATATTTAACATTTATAGCTGTGTGTACACTGCGTGGTGACGGCGTTTACTCTTTGTTCAAGAACACTCAACATTCAGAGTGCATTCAGAGCTCTTTTAGCTCTTGTGAATGTTTCCTCCCTGACTGGCTATAAGGTGAAGCAGCACTGACCTATAGCAACCTGAAACACCTGTCATGCTAATTACTGTGTCTACTACAGCTGACATCAGGTATTGATATTATCCCATGTTTTACTTCTACATGAGCATGATCCTGCTGCCTTCTGAAATACATTTTTTTTCTTTCAAATTATAAGGTATGAATTTTTTGTTTGTTTGAGTTCACTAGTCCCAACCCAGGGATATGATAGATAGATAGATAGATTGAACTATTAACTAAAACTAAAATAAAATGAATGAAAACTATATAGTCATATATTTAGAAATAAGTGGTTTAAACTCCAATTTAAAACAGACACCATTCAAACTTCTTTTACAGATAATTTCAGCTATTTTGGGCATTGTAAATGTTATGTTTTTAAGAAATGTTGTGTTGTGTTGTATGTTATGTTATTTTATGTTTGCAACTCTCCATTGACAGTTTATTAAGCATTCAAATTTGTGTTTGCCCTTATTTTGCATCTATTTGCATACTGAATTGACATTGTTCTTGCATATATTTAACATTTATAGCTGTGTGTACACTGCGTGGTGACGGCGTTTACTCTTTGTTCAAGAACACTCAACATTCAGAGTGCATTCAGAGCTCTTTTAGCTCTTGTGAATGTTTCCTCCCTGACTGGCTATAAGGTGAAGCAGCACTGACCTATAGCAACCTGAAACACCTGTCATGCTAATTACTGTGTCTACTACAGCTGACATCAGGTATTGATATTATCCCATGTTTTACTTCTACATGAGCATGATCCTGCTGCCTTCTGAAATACATTTTTTTTCTTTCAAATTATAAGGTATGAATTTTTTGTTTGTTTGAGTTCACTAGTCCCAACCCAGGGATATAATAGATAGATAGATAGATAGATAGATAGATAGATATGATAGATAGATAGATAGATAGATAGATGGATGGATGGATGGATGGATGGATGGATGGATGGATGGATGGATGGATAGTAGTTATTGATTTTTCAGTTCTTTGAAATGCAGTTTTTTGGAATTAATTGTGAAATTTACTAGCAATTTCTGAGTGAAAATTGTACATGCCTGCTTACTTTATTTATTTTTTGGTTTAGGTAACTAAAACTAAAACCATACAAAATTTGTTTCTGGAAATAAAGTTAATGTTAACTGAAGTAATAAAATAAAATGTCATATATATATATATAAAGCTAATAACATGCATTAATAAAAATGACTAAAACTGAAATTAAAACTGAAAATATAAAAGAAAATTCAAATTCAAAATATGAATGAAAACTATAATATTATCTATGTGAACAAAAATAACACTGGTCCAAACAATTTTTTTCAGAACTGGAATAATAAACATCCAAATAAACAATCCCTGCTGGAGTGATGAATGCAGCAGGGGTGACAAACAACCCGCGATGACTTGAGGCTTCCTCACCGTAGAGACATGACAATGACAAACAGCAGGACATCAATCAGTGAGCGGCAACACACTATGGAAAATAAAGAAATAAATGACTTGATAAAACCAAATATAGTACATTTGTAATAAAATTTAATCCTGAATTTATTTTTATGACCTTTTTCCTATATGTATTATTTTCTGTATTTATTTTTACATTTATTTTTATTCTTTTTCAGTTTTATTTACTTATCTTATCATTTATTTGTATATTTATTTATTTATGTATTTATTTATTTTAAATGTATTTATTCATGCGTTTATTTATTTTTTATATTTATTTATTCCCACATGTATTTATTTCCAGATTTATTTATTCATTTATTTATTTTTACTTTTCCCTGTGCAGCATCACGCAGAAGCGTCAGATCAAACGAGATCGGAGTTTGTGGGATCAACTGCAGAGTTGCAAGATATTTTCACAGATTCACGTTATTATGTCGAATTACACAGAGAAAATCGTGACTCCCAAAAGCATTGTGAGCCTAAATGCAATCGTAAACCAGTTGCACCAAAGGACCTAGTTAGACCTACGGTCTACTCAGGCTCACAATGCTTTTTGGAATCGCGGCGCACTGGCACTTGACGTCTATATTTGGAAGTTTAGGGACCATCTCTAAAGTTAAATACGACATTGGTATACATGATTGTAACTTCAATAGCATTTGAAGAGAATGACTTACAGTCACAAAACCAACTGTAAAGTGTTCATCTACGAATCAGGTATATTTAGCAATATTTAGATATAATTTGACAGTTTATTTGAATAAATATCGTATGTCGTATGTAAGTTTAGAGACGGTCCCTACACTTGCGAATATTGAACGTCCAACGTCAAGCCAACTTTATGGCAGTGGGCCGCGATTCCAAACCTTTGATGCAACTGTTTTACGATCAACTTAATGCTTTTGGGAGTCTTTTCTCTGTAATTACAAAATGAACACAAGCCTTAGAAACCTCTACCAAGTGTGTCTAGAGACGTCGTCAAACTAAACTTGTAAGTAGGTGTAGTAGGTGAATTCAGTCGCTATAAAATAATTCGACATAACGTGAATCTGTGAAAATATCTTGCAACTCTACAGTTGATCACACAAACTCCGATCTCTATCGTTAGTTTGATCTGACCTTCTGCGTGAGCTCTCAACCAATGATTCACCGGAGCTCCGCAAGGACCGCCTCCCTCATTTGCACACGGAAAAGTAAGAAGAAATAAATGAATAAATAAATCTGGAAATAAATACACGTGGGAATAAAAAAATAATAAATACATACATAAATAAATTATATTAAAATAAATGCAAAAATAAATACATAAAATAATATAATACATAAAGGAAAAAGTAATAAAAAAATTAATTCAGGGTTAAATTTTATTACAAATTAACTATATTTGTGTTTATCAAGTCATTTATTTATTTATTTATCTATATATTTATTCGTTTTTAATTTCTGCAGGTTTGGTCCTTCATAACACACAACCACCACGTCACAAAATGAGCCATCCACAGTAACTGTAGCATATGTAGTGCTATACAGGAAGGGAGAGGATCTGTAGAATGAGGGGGAAAGAAAAAACACACCTCTACCTACATTGGTGAAAAACTGAAAACATAACTATACAATTCACTGCAGCTTCCAGCTAAAATGAACCCTAGTGACAGTAAAACATCAAATTTGATTATTTTCACATATTATGATTACGGGACAGATTGTTGATTAATAAAGACTAAATTTTGCACGGTTCCTTGCACAATACTTTGTTATGAGCAGCATACTTCTACCATAGAGCATAAAACAAACTTGGTAAACAAATACGTTTTGAAGTTTGCATCACATAGCCAGCTCTGTATGTTTTGCTTTTCTTACATAGTAAACTTGCTTGGTAGCGCACCCGGTATGGTATTGCATTTGTGCTCAGGTACAAGTCATGATAAAGAGCTCAAAGACTTGTAGAAGCAGGATAAAATAACATGGTTGCTTCAGTAAAATTCAGTTTTTATGTCATGTTTGCTTTTGTTAACACTATTGGTTAGGTTTAGAGTTAGTCTAGTGTAGGTGTTATTTTTGAACACAATAGAGTATTAAAGGAGACATATTATGCCCCTTTTTACAATATGTAATATAAGTCTCTGGTGTCCCCAGAATGTGTCTGTGAAGTTTCAGCTCAAAATACTCCACTGATCATTTATTATATCATTTTGAAAATGCCTATTTTGAGTGGAAGCAGAAACACGCTGTTTTTCGGGCCTGTCTCTTTAAATGCAAATGAGCTGCTGCTCCCCGCCCCCTTTTCCAGAATAGAGCTGCCATTACAGCTCAGACCTGCTAAAAACATGTTTTGGTTCTGATTATCATGTATATCACGCTGAAATCATTATACGGTTTAAACCATATGAGTTTAAACTTCTGATATACGGTTTTCTGAGCGCACACATCCGAAGCACACGGACAGAAAGCGGCTG